ACGCCACGGTGGTTATGAACACATCTGACTACCAAACCAAATTAACCAACCTACTCCAAGACTCCACATACAAACCCCTAAATACAGATCCCACCACCTACCTGGAAAAAACCACCAGAACCAAGATAAAAGCCTCCCCCATTAGCGAAGAGATCCAGCAAAGAATCATTCCCAGAGAGAAATCATCCAGATGCCCTAAACTCTATGGTCTCCCCAAGATACACAAAGAAGGAACCCCACTCAGACCTATAGTCAGCTCCATAGGCTCACCTCTACAAAACCTAGCCAAATTTCTCGCCAAACAACTACAGCCCTATGCAGAATCCATCACCTCACACGTAAAAAACTCATTCCAGTTTATAGAGATCATAAAGAAACAAAGCTTACAGCCCAGCGACCTACTAGTGAGCTTCGATGTCATATCCCTCTTCACCCAAGTGCCTATCAAAGAAGCCTTGACAGCTATTCAAAACAAATATAACCCCCCCAAACACATCTTAGATCTGACCAACCACTGCCTATCCAACACATACTTCATCTATAATGGACAAAAATACAAACAAACAGAAGGAGCACCCATGGGATCACCCCTCTCACCTGTCATTGCCAACCTCTACATGGAACACTTTGAAACCCAAGCTCTAGAAAAATCGGATCACAAACCCAAACTCTGGCTCAGATACGTAGACGACACCTTCATAATCTGGCCACATGGGAAAGAAAAACTGGACAACTTCCTCACACACCTCAACAGCCTACACCCCAAAATACAGTTCACCATGGAAACAGAAGCTAACAACCAACTTCCCTTCCTGGATGTCTTAGTCTACAAGAAATCCAATGGCTCCCTAGGACACACCATCTACCAGAAGAAAACACACACAAACCGCTATCTGCACGCTCTCTCACACCACCACCCAGCACAGATCAACTCTGTAGCCAAGACACTCATCTCCAGAACAAAACGCTTAGCTGACGAACAACACCTAAAACCGAACTACACACTCTCACCAATGTACTAACATCCAATGGATTCCATAGAAATAAGATTACAAACCTAATCCAAAAAGAAACCCCCACAAAATCCAAGACAAAGAACAAGAAAACGGCAAAGCCCTCCTCCCATACATAAAAGGCACCACAGACAGAATCAGTAAGATCCTCCATAAACACAACATCAAAACAGCATTCTGCACAAACAGAAAAATATCCACCATCCTTAGAAACCCCAAAGATAAAATTGAATTAGAAAATCAAGGAGTATACGAAATCCCATGCACCACTTGTCCCACCACATACATCGGACAAACCAACAGAAGAATAAGTGCACGCATTGAAGAACATAAGAACTCAGTCAAAAAAGAGGAACCAACATCTTCCCTGGTCCAACACCTTAAAGCCACAGGACATGAAATTGACTTTAAAAATACCAGAACCATTGCCAAAAGTGAACATTTTAATAACAGAATAATCAGAGAAGCCATCGAGATAGAAAAACGCCCACACAGCATGAACAAGCGAGATGATACCTCCCGCCTACCAGCCATTTGGAAACCTGCCCTTATTGACAAACGACTCCCTAACCCCAAAATCTTAAACCCCTCTGCAACTCAGACTAACCTGAGCACAACCAAACAGAACACTCCCCCAGCCAATCAGAGCACAGCCAAGCCCCTAACCATTCAGAACACACCTCCACCCAATCAGAACACAGCCAAGCTCCCATCCAATCAGTTCATACCCCCACTGGCAGTTAAAAGGAAGAAACAGCTAAGACCACACATTGCTGCTCAAAGCACGAAGCTGAAAACACCAGCCTGAAGATGACGAATGTGACTTCGTCGAAACGTGCCAAGACACTTCCAATTTTACGCGGGAGAAAACCCACAACCAAAGACCTATATATATAGATATATATATATATATATATATATATATATATATATATATATATATGTTTTCGGAGGTTTTTGCGGGTGTTTGTATGTAGGTCTTTGGTTGTTCGGGTTTTCTCCCGCGTAAAATTGGAAGTGTCTTGGCGACGTTTCGACGAAGTCCCATTCGTCATCTTCAGGCTGGTGTTTTCAGCATTGCTGCTCGAAGCACGAAGCTGAAAACACCAGTCTGAAGATGACGAATGGGACTTAGTCGAAACGTCGCCAAGACACTTTCAATTTTACGCGGGAGAAAACCCGAACAACCAAAGACCTACATATATACATACACATACACCTTGACACATATACACACTCATACACATACACATATACACACTCAATTTCATATATTTAGGATACTTACAGCTCAATCATGAACCGGAAGAAGTTAGCCAACAAATATTTCCACTGACAAGGAACACTTTCCTTAATAAACAAAAGTTTTTGACACTTTTTTTTAAATTGGTTCTCTTTACCCAGTTTTAGCCCTTGTGTGGAAAACAGATCAAATTTTACATTGTATTTACTCAGAAATATTAAACATTCAAAAGAGTTAATGTTTTCATCAATATAACAACTACCTCCAATGTTATTGGATGCCATTTAGAATATATCTGCCAGGTATTTTCTACAGAAGTGATTTTAGATTCAATTGAGGTTGCAGAATTTCCTACAATATAAGCTCTGGTCCCTGTGAAATAGCTCCATGGCCCTCCTGACTTTTCCAGGCAACTAAGGAAGGGATGGTGGCTAAATCTAGTACTTCTTTGAAGGAGGAAGCACTGAAAGAGGCAGTGGGTACATTCTTTCCTGAGATTTCTTTCAATTCAGCCATGCAGAGCAACCTCTTTTAATCTTCCTTTTTTAACAGAAGACTTTGGATAATCCTGGAGTAAGCAGATTAGCCAGCCTCCAGACCAAGTCTTGAAACAGAAAAGGCACTCTTTACTCCAGCAGATTATCTTTTCCTTGGGCCTTAAGGGAGCTGAACCACTGAATCCTTCCATAACATCTAACTCAAGCCCTCATCACTTCAAGATTGGATTATTGCAAAGAGTTTTACTTAGGATTGTGTCTGAAGACCATTCAGAAACTGCAGTTAGTTCAGAACGTAACAACCTACTTAATAGTTAAGAACTGCTACAACAGGACTGCACTGTTGCCACATAGATACTGCACTGACTTCCTAAGTTTCCAGGCACATGTGCTTGTTATTATTTGTAAACCTTTTAAGGCTGGGTTTGCACAAGATTTCCTCATCCTGTATAATCTACCCAGGAAGCAATATTCCAAATTCCCTCCTCCAAATGATATGAGAGGAGAGAGAATCTGAAAGTATGATTTCTCACGGACAGCCCTGGTGCTATGAAATAGTATGCCCCAGAAGTTAGGATGGCTGGCTATACAGAATACGAGGGATAATGCAATACTCTCCAGAACTCTATTTTTTAATTGTAAATTGTGAAACTTACATTATGATTTTCTTATATGTGGATTATAATTGAGTATTATTTGTTGGTTTGTTTTTCACATTTCTGAAGTGCCATCTCCCTCAAAGAGGAATTATTATATTTGGATTCTGAGTATCACTATATTTGTATTGGTTGGTGTGTGTGTGTGTATGTGTGTGTGTGTGTGTGTGTGTGTGTATGAAAACAAAAATGCGGCAAGCTCAAATGCTGATTACCGTGTTTCCCCGAAAGTTAGACCCAGCCCGATAGTAAGCCCTAGCTTGATTTTGGGGGGGGGAGGGCCTAAGATAAGCCCTATCTAAAACTAAGCCCTAGTTTTGGGGTGAGGCACACCCCTAACAATCAAGCTAGGGCGGGAGTAGGGGGGTGAAGCTGCCCCAGTTCCCCACACCCACTTACCCTACTGGTAGAACCACCACAGCCAGGCCTCCCATACCCTAACATCTGTCGTGCTGCTACTTGACTTCTTCTGCAACTGCTTGCTGCCACTTGTGGCCGGCCATGTGACGCACTGCATCGTTGCCACTCCTCCCAGCAGGACGCCGCATGATGCTTCAGGCTGCTTCTGTTGCTTGCGGCAGGAGGCCACGTGGCACTTTGGGCCATTTCCGCTGTGGAAACAACCCAAAGAGCCATACAGCATTCTGCCGTGAGCAGCAGAAACGGCGCAAAGCACCATGTGGCATCCTGCTAGGAGGACGGCAATAGCGCAATGTGCCACACGGTGTCCGGCAACAAGTGGCGGCAAGTGGCCAAAGTCAAGCAGCGATGCAACAGGTGTCGGGATATGGGAGGCTTGGCTGCGGTGGTCCCAAGGTAAGACATTCTCTGAAATTAAGACCTAGTACCCCTTTGGAGGCAAAAAAAAATATAAGACCGGGTGTTCATTTCGGGGAAACACGGTATGTGCTGTTAAGTCATTGTCAACTCTTAGCACAAATAGATTTTCTCCATGATGTGCCTAACGTAGTCCTACATACAAATATCTTTGATATATCTGTGTAAACCATCTGATTTAGCAAAATGAAGACATTTCCAGTCCTAAAACAGATGAGTTATTGATGGTCAGGGGACTTACTTTTTGGTAAATTAAAGTAGTGCTTATTTCATTAACATAGAATGATAAGTGAATGACAGATTTTCTCCTTCTATTTCTGCAAGGTTTGGGGATTTCTTTTCTCCTTTGTTTTTAAATTATTTTAACTTTTCAGTACAAAATGTCACAAAATTGCATTGCCAAATCTTGGCGCTTTTAGATAGATAGTATACCAGGATGCAAAAAAAGGGTTCAGTGCCAAATATTATTCTATGCCTCAGGTTAGGCACCCATCAAAAAATAATTGTTCTGAAATGAGAGGAAATGCAATAATGATGGCAAATGATGTGATATTTTCCTTATATTCATTAATGCATCATTAAGAATCATTATTTCAATTTATAAGAATCTATTACTATCAATGTTTAAACGCAGCCCATGGAATGCTAATGCCAACATTCACAAGCTACATAGGAATTTTATATTAGATATTTCTTTGTGTTACAAGTATTACACAAAAAACTCCACCATATCCTTTTAATTAATATACTGTACCTTTTGAACATCTGCATCGTGCTTCTGCTGTAATTTAAGTTTTTCTTCATGAAGTCTAGCTTCCATCAATTTTGATTTCATCTCCAGCTGCAAATTGGATGTTGCACATACTGATCAGTTTTATAGATGACACTTAACCCTTCCCTATAAATCAAAACAGCTTCAAGAACCTTTACATCTAAAATAACAAAGACCCACTGGCAATTTATCTAGCCTTCTGTGAATAAAAGCAAATGGGTTGATCTTTCTCTGATGATGAACTAAACAGTCACAAATCTTACAGATAATTAATTTCCTTGGGATAGAGAAGCAGTTTTGATTCAATCAAGCCTCTACAAGGTCATCTCTTGGTCACAAAAGAATGCTTTTTGACAAATTGGTTAATATTTATTTTAAAATGTATTTAAGGAAACCTTGTGAATATTAATAAAACTAAGCATTGCTTATTTTGGCTAACATTAGCCAACCAGCAATGATACCTTTTTTCTGACTGTTCACTGTTTTTTTAATCCTCATATATTAATATATTGGCCTCATCCTACACACCTACCAGTTTGGTTGGGATTCTCATCTCTGTCCTTTAGCACTTGACATACTGCCTCAGCTGTTCCTAACAACTTATACAGGAAGAAGAGGCAAAATAATAATAGACAAATCAGCATGGCTCATTTTCAACTGAAAACCACAGCTAAGTATCTTGAACCAGGATAGATCTTGTTTTAAGAACCTCTTTTTCTTTTACTAATTATATCATTGAGAAATGCACTATAAATCAACAACCACATCCAGAGTAGAGTTTGCAAAGAAGAAGAAAAATGCTAAAAAAATTATATTATTCAGGGCCGCTCTGCACAGCCTTAGGAAGCTGTACACCCTACGCAGAGCTTTGGAAAAGTAAGGGCAGCTCTCCTTTTCTTTTTTTTCCTCTATGAAGCCAGCTCAAGAGCACAGGAAAAGGGACATTTTCAGATGCTGCAGCTAAGGGCTGGTTTTAATATTTTTCTTCTTCTTCCTTTTCCTAAAGCGCCAGGCTGAGAGGATTACATTGTTTCAGGCAATGTCTGTTTTCACAATAGATGTTCTATTTAAGAATAGCAAAAAGATATATCTAAATTTATATTTCAAGGGAAAAAACCAAATGTTAATATAAAGTGTTTTAAGATCTAAAGGAAAGGGGAGGATTGGGTTTACTGGATTTAAAATTGTATTTCACTGCTTGCTGTTTGATCTGGATGAAAGAATAAGTGTTGCTGAGAAATAAGAGACTTTTACACTTGGAAGGTAAGGTTTGGGTGGCATCTATATTATGGTATCATAAAAATAATCCTAGATAAAGTTCTGTTTATACAAATATTGTATAATATTCTTATCTAAAGAAATGTATATAAAATGATACTGATAAACACTTTTTGCATATTCATATTATTTATGACAGTATCCCCTTCTTATAACTTTAATATCATTTATTTTCTTCTTTTTCTTTTAACAACTTATATGCCAATCACTTCCCTTTCCCCTATTTTTTTATTTTTTGTTGCATTTATACTCTATGTTAAGCATTTGTAATTCATAATTAATCCAAGATTTTAGAAAGGTGAATACTTGTACTGCCTAATGTGGCGTCTTCTCCAATGTCTTGTATCTGTTGTGGCATTTTTTTAGTTTCATCTGTCATTATCACTTCCCTTTGTGTCTTGTCCAATTCTTAATTTTTTTTTCAAAAAATCTTTTGCTTTCTGCAGAGTTTAACCCAAATTTCTATCGTTTGAAGGTAAAAATCACCCGTTGCAGCACACCACCTAAATGGAATTTTCTTCTGTTTATCAGAAAAGGTACGATTACATTTGTATTATCAATACTCATCCTAGTATTAAAATGCTTCTGTAGAAATTAATCTGGTTTCTTCCCAACAAAGTGTATAGGGACATCCCCTGGACCATTTTTGCAAAATGCATATTGATCCTTTAGCCTAATCAATCTGTCTATCAACATTGTCTTCCTCCCAATCTAGAAATCCAGACAGAGATTTAAGAATCTTTTCTCTAATGTCCTCTCCATGTCCTTCTGGAATTGTTCTAATTCTTGAACAAAATTATTTTTCTCTCAATTTCTGTAATGCCAGATTGCCCAAGTCATTCTCTATATCTCTATTTATAACTTCTGTCTTAGTTTCCAAAACTTGTACTTTGTCAGTAACTTGTTTCAAATCTGCAGCCAGTTATCCTCAGATTCAATTTTCTTAACTTCTTCTTTCAGATCTTTTTTCATTGCTGCAAATCCATTTACTTTTTAACTGTTGCAGACATATTTTTACCAAATTCTTCAAATAGTTTCTTCAATAAATCTGATACAATACCCTTATCAGTAAGTTGTTCTAGTGAACCTGCGTGTCCTCCCATTTTGGCAGCTTTTCTTATGGTTGCCATGGTGAGAAAGTGAAAGTATGTCAGTTACTATGGTGAGAAAAAAGTTAGGATTCTTGTTTTATTCTGCTTTTCTTTTCTTTATCCTGCCAATTAGCTTTCCAAAGTCACAATCAAACAGTTTAGCTCTTGTCTTCTTGTTTTCCAAAATCCACCAATTATTACTGTCCTTTTATATAAACAGTCACCTTCCCACAGTAGTCTAGTCTGTTAGTCTATTCAAATTTTCAAAGATACTTTTGTCAAAGAAACACACACACACACACACACACACACACACACATAAATCACTGTCCTCCTTTTCCATTTGAAGATTTCTAATATCACAATCTTGTCTTTGTAATCCTTTAAAATAGGGTTTTTTCTCTTAATTTCAAAAAGAAGACACTCATCTTGATTCTTTAAACTTTATTGCTGTTCAAAATATGTCTATTAGAATAGATTGTAAAACAAACCATAAACTTATTAAGAAGGTGAGGTTTTTTAAAGCAATGGATGGAAACTAATCAAGGAGAGAAGCCAGCTAGAACTAAGGAGAAATTTCTTGACTTGGCTGCTGGTGAGGAGGGGGTCACGGGGGAGGCAAGGCTGGGGCAACGGCACGTGTGCCCACAGAGAGGGCTCCAAGTGCCACCTCTGGCACCCGTGCCATAGGTTCGCCACCACTGGTATAGGGTTTTCTGCCTGAGCAGTGGGTTGAACCAGATGACCTCCAAGGTCCCTTCCAACTCTGTTATTTTGAAAGTCAAATGTCCATAAAAAGGCTCTGCAACAATTAGGAGTAAATACTCAACTCCCAAGATACTTGACTTATCATCAACTGCAAGAAAAGTAAATTTCTGCATTTTTTGTAAGAAGCTGTTCTTCCAGAGTACAAATGGACTATTCCCTTAATTTCTCTTTATTCTGTAGTAATTTTCTGTCAGCCAGAACCAACTTTTGGCTGGCAATTCCATCATTGTCCATCTAACTGGCCATAACGTCTCATCTGGAAGCTGAATACTCCTGATATATCTTATTTTATTTTTATAATTAAAGACCCAGTATTACTCCCTTTATTTAGATAATATCTTTATTTTTAAACTTTTTCTTACATTCAAGAATAGAAATATTACTGAACATTTTTTCTTAAATTGTTTACAGAGTATTCATATATATTTGTAATTAAGTTTACAGAATAATTTCTCACATTATGAAACATTTTAATTATGGCAAAACTCCACTATATTTAATATGGATTCAGCCACAGAATGAAGTATCGGCAATAAAAATGTTATAAAAGCAAAATTAAAAGATACATCTCCGGAGATTGTACCAAGTTTGACAGAGACTATGCAAGCACCCAAATCCTATATGCCGAGCAAGGAAGAAGCCAAGCTTCAATTCCAAGGATTTGTCACATAGGCCAATTTTTAATACTCAAGTAATGAGTAAACTAGGCAGAGAATATAACTCTTAAAAGTATGATTACAGCCAAGCGAGTACTCTTACTGTCAAATGCAGTAATCCTAATCACTGTTCTAATGGTTATATATCATATGAAAACTTAGCACAAAATAGTTAACATTTATAATGATGGGGTAAGGAGGGGCGGGGCAAGGTGAGGCAAATGATCTGCAGCTGCTGCTATGCAGCACCAGCACTTGAGCGCTCGCAGTTTCTTGTTTGTGCACCAGGGCGGCACCCAGTCAGGTTGGGGTGGGCCAGGGTTGGGGCAGTGGGGGCCAGCCCCTTGCCATTTCTGGGACAGCCCTGGGGGCCAAATCTCGGCCCTTTGCAGGCTGGTTGCGGCCCATGGGCCTTGTGTTTGACATGTCTGATTTAGGCAAACAACATGTGAATCATAAAAATATATTCCTGAAAAAAACCACTTAAAATGTAAAATGGATATTTGAAATTATTTTTATCAAAATGTTTGCATGTACAATATTTTTATCATTGCCATTGTTCATTCTTCTGTCTTTCTGTCATTGTTTATGCTCTTTCCAGAGCACTATGAAGCAACTATGTCTTCCAGACATGTAAACACTACTGATTTCAAACATCTGTTCTGTCCCTACAATTAAAGCTATTAAGAGTGAAACCAATACATTTAATTTTATATTTGTGCGTGTTAGCTCTTTCTATACACATGCCTTTTAAAAAAAATTAAATGCACAAATATGTTAAAGAGTTGCTTCATTTTTATATCCTGCCTGCTTATAATCTGGGATGAAACATAAGTTATTTGCTTCAACACAGTCTCACTGAGAAGTAACACATCCCCACAGTCCTGTTACAATGCAAAGCATTTGAGCTTATCCATAGAGGAGATACATTTTTTTCCCTAACACCAGAAACATGTCCTATTAAATTGGGAGATGATCTGGGAGCATTTCCATTTAGGAAGGACTCCAAGACATTCAAGGCTGAAAAAAACTCAAACAGCCCTTTATGCAGAAGTCAAGAATATAAGCATTTTACTTAAAGTCACTAGAATGGATAGTAGAATTTAGCTGAATTGTTTATATTCATTCACTAAAATGTAATGATCGTTGTGCGTCCATTGACCCAGAAGATTCTGACACCAAGGAGCAGACAGATTTCAACTTGAGGAAGCTGCAGGGAATCAAACACTTGTGGCTGATCTGGCTGGCAATCATACAAAATAGCTGCACCCAGTCT